ATGCTTTTGTCAGTGCTGGTCGTGCTTCTGCTCACCTTTTTCTACGAGCTACTGAAAGTCTGGAGGGTGTGGTTACAGAGCAGGTACCAGCCGCACCAGGCCCTGGATTCTGTGCCTCTGTCCTGCAGCAACGACTCCAGCTCCATACTGAGCATCAGCCGGTCAGAGTCCTCCAGGACGGCCATTGAGACCCTCCCTTCTCCAGATCTGAACAACAGAAACCGGTCGGAACTGTTGTTTATTGCTGTGATATTAGAAATCTTGAGGGCGGGGCTGTCATTTAGTCGATTTTCACTTTTCAGTGCCTGTGCCCACTTTTTTCATCTGGTATTTATAGATTGAAATACCGTGTTCTCACTGTATGTGTATTCATACTAAATACAAATACACGTGTGCCAAACACGTACACCTGGTAACCATTGTAATACAGAGCAGAACAAAAGTGCAGCCGCTCGTGTTACTCGCAAAAGTCATTCAGTCATAAGTTAGCAGTTAGCACAGAGCAGCCTGGAGGTCAAGTCTTATCTCTTTGTGGTCTACTACTGGTACTACCGAAAACTCCTCCAGTTTATGATGGGACATCGGCTGGTTGAAGGCGTGTCAGAACAGAAGAACCTGAATCGCGAGGCGTGCTGCACTTTTATATTTAGTTTTTAGAACGTCAGTGTTTTCTATTATGTTATTCTCTATTGCACGTGTCAAAGTCCATGCAACAGAGTTTCTTAACCTAAGTAAATAAAAGATAGCTAGAAGATGCAGAAACATGTATTAGTCTGTTATACAGTAGTTACATCTATATCAGCGGTCCCCAATCTTTTTTGTTCCAAGGACTGGTCAGCCAGTACCACCCGTTATACAGACCAGTTACGAGGGGTCGAGCATTGAAGCATCATTAAATTCTCAAACTAAAACATCTATTAGACTATTCTGTTTGTACTAGAGTCTGAATGACTTATTATTATAAAATATTGCCAGATTATCTTTATTAAAAAAAAAGTAAATGGATATGACTGGATTTTCTTTTGATTAAGTAAATTAGTAAGAATGAAGTACATTTTTTCACTGTGTCCCACTGCTGCCCAGTACCAAATGACCAATATGGACTGGTACTGGTCCGTGCACCGGGAGTTGGGAACCCCTGATCTATACAGTCTTCCATTTACAACCGGCCTTTCAAAGGAAACTGTATTGCTGATGTGGCCCACCAGTGAAAAAAAAGTTTGACAGCCCTGCTCTAAATGAATGACTTTAGAGTGTTTTTACTTTTGGTCCAAAACTGTATGGAACCTTAGCTTGGCTTTATCATACAGTCAACATGCAGAACTGTGTAAAAAGATCTCTGGTCACCCATAACATCACTCTAACTTTTCTCTCCAGCCTATTACTGCATGTCGACCAGACTGGACTCCACGTGCTGCAGGTGGCTCTGGGCTACATGCTGATGCTGTTGGTGATGTCCTACAACGTCTGGATCTTCCTGGGTGTCATCCTGGGCTCCGCTCTGGGTTACTTTATCTCATTTCCCCTGCTGAGTAAGAAGCAACTTCGCTGAGTGATTTTTTTTTTTTTTTCCATACATTTGTTTTTTACTGGGAAAACTACTGGATCTGCTGTTGGCATGACAACGACGACAGTGGTGATGTCGATGACAGATTGTCAACGACTGGTCACTGGCTTTTGTTGACGTTTGTGCTTGTGACCATGGAGTGTGGATGTGTTTTAGGTTTTAATGATTTTATGACGATTTTAGAATGAAAACATTTAATAACTTTTAGTTTCTCTGGTGTGAAAGCGACGTTTGTGGTATTTACTAACCACTTCCACTCATTCTCGGAGACAGAAGTTAGAGAACAACTTGTGCCTCCAATACTGTAATTTATTTGAATACTTAATTGAAATTTATTTTAGTTTGTTTAATTTTTAACTATAGGTTTATAGTGGTGTTGTGAAATTAAAATCTGTAATAAAAATGAAACCTGTTTTATTTAATTTTTCTTTTTCAGCAATCTTTAATTGTGCACACAGGCAACATTTCCTATTACGCTCAAATGTAACACTTGATTCACGGAACCCCACAGGAGGGGGGGGTCTAGACCTCAGGTTGCTATCCCCTGTACTAACTCCATGATACTAAAGATGGCCATCTTAAAAGTGTATGTACTGTATGTAGATGTGTTTTTTGTTTAAGGCTGGTTTTTGAAATAGCATTAAACGCTGCAGTGTGTCAACATGAGGAAGTGGATCATGTGATTTTCCTTGTGTGTGTGTGTGTGTCACATGGCACGTGAAAGACACATTTAACAAAATGGAAACAGTCAGAGGGGAACCGTCATGACGACGGCTGTACTCACCTGCTCCATCTTGCTTTTGTGTGTCTGTGTGTGCGTGTGTGTGTGTGTTGCTGATTGTTGTTGGTGGTGTGGTTTAACGACCATCATTGACCTAGTTAAGTTGAAACAGGAAAAGCGAGTGCCTCATCTATACCACAGTTCCACACAAACATTTTGGAGAAGATAATTTGAACTTTAGCATTACATTTTTTTAAAATTAAATTCATTAAATATTGTCATGAAATTAAATTAAATTTTTTTAAGACTGACGACTGAAACCCATACCAACAGTATGTTTTGTCTGTAGAGATATAACTAAAAATATATGGCACTATGTTCGTTATGTGTCTAATGTAATATTTTGGACACCCTAACACAAACAACCGTGGGCTGCATCATTGGTCACCGTAGCATTATAACAGCAAAACGACGTGTTTTTATAAAGGACAGGAATAGCTGCCAAAGCTGTTCTAGAAGTTAAGTTTAATCCACATTAGTACAAATGATAGAAGGTGACGTCTCCCTCTGACCCAGAGAAGATGAAACGAAAAAAAAAAGTTTCAAAGAACCTCATTAATAATATTACACAGAAGATTCTACTGACTACACGGACGTCCAAATTCTGATATCCATCAAATCATTTCTCATTCGGCGCAAACGTAAGGTCACAAGACACTATGTTCCAGTTACTTGGAATCAACTGGGATTAAAATAAAAGTCCTGACACTTTTGACTGAAATGTGTTGAAACAATGGTCATTTGACCACATTTAACAAAAAGAACGAAACATCAGCATATAACTTATATAAAATACTTTCTTTTATACAAACAAACAAAAAAAAAGAAGCGCGGTAGGATGTGGCAAAAATCCAGACAGTGTAAAAGTTTGACAGTAACACCCCCTGCTGCCCAGATTGAGAGTTGTGAAGCGATTAATGAAGAGCACAACAGACCGAACCTACAATGAAAATCTAACATCAGCCAGCTACATTTACACCCGTTAGTGTTGTAATCACACTATTCATTTATCCAGGAAACAATTAAAATAACAGACAGGTGTGAAGTGTTACGTTTTTAAAAAGTGGATCATGACCTTTTAAGGGCAGTTTATTTCTACTTTAGCTCACTTTTACTTTAGGTTATGTCTTATCTACTATAGAGTTTTTGTTTGTTCTGTGGTGATGATCTGCATGCCAAGTGCCTGCATGCTTTGTTCTGTGGTGATGATCTGCATGCCGTCGGACAAGTGCCTCAACAAATTCTACCACCATGTGGCATGAAAAAGAAAAATAATAGTCTTAGTTTCCTCCTGTGTCACTATTACCAAAAAACCATGGCCTGGTATTGGTCTGTGTTCCAGTGGTTGGGGACCTTTTCATTGCAGCACAGTCTAGTGTAAATTCACTCCAAAATAATAGTCTTAGTTTCCTCCTGTGTCGCTATTACCAAAAAAACATGGCCTGGTATTGGTCTGTGTTACAGTGGTTGGGGACCTTTTCGTTGCAGCACAGTCTAGTGTAAATTTACTCCAATTTTTTTTTTTTTAGAAGACTCAAAGGTTATTTTCTGTTTAGTGCAGGCAAACTAAGGCCCAGGGGCCAGATGCAGCCCATTTAGTTTTGTAATCCGGCCCACCAAACTTGTACCCTGCACCCTTGCACCCTGTAGTGCCAACGTCTTCCCTATAGATGGCGTAGAAAAGGCTAAAAGTATTATAGTAAATACTTCTGCCTTTTCCCTGCAGTGCCAACGTCTTCCCTATAGATGACGTAGAGAAGGCTAAAAGTATTATAGAATTTTAGTCTTTATGCATGACTTTTAGCATGACCATGTCAAAATCTAGAACCAATTGTGGCCTGCGAGCCAAAAGGTTTGCCTATGCCTGGTTTAGTGTCTTTAAAAATCTTAACTTTATATTCTTTTTTAATTTATGACAATACACTTTAGCCAAGCTAGAAAAACTCCTGCACTGTTTGTAAAATGTTGATGCTTCTGAGAGGCTAGTACCTCAAAAACTGGTTCAAGTAAATCCACCCCCTTGAGGCTGAAAAACAAATATAAGCATCCATATATTTTGGTCAGCGATACTTTTACTAAGGAACTGATTGAATTGGTCGTGACTCGAAGTAAAGTTGGAAGTGTCTCTTGTCTCAAAAGTGGTTTGTGTTTGGTCGGACTGTCATCACTTTCTTTGTACAGTAAGGTTCAGAGTGTGATTTCACTGCCGTGCACATACAGGATCATGTGTGTTGACGTAGCTAAAAAGAGATGACCGGTCGGAGAAGAAATGTCCAGAGCGCATGTTCATGAAGCAACATGAACAACAGCATCAGCCCAGAAAACAAAAGCTTTAAATAACAAGCAGGGTCGCTCCTGGTCCCTTTCTCAGTCTTGCGTGGAACACCTCCCGTCTACGCTAAAAGAACTTCCACTTCTGCCGGATCAATGACTTTGTCCTCTCCATTCAGGCCGTTTGTTATTGGTTGGGGTACACTGTCATCCGACTCCAGGTTGGTTGGCGACTGGAAGCCGCTGTCTTCTCTCGAGCTAGAGTCTGTTGGAACTTGTGGCGATTCAGAACCTGATTCTGCCACAGGGATTTCAACCGTCGTTGCACTTTCGTCTTCCAGGACCTCGGGTTGTGTTTTATCTTTGGCGTCGTCTTCTTCTTGGTTTTCTACGATCCCTTCCTGCTCTCCGTTTCCTAGCAGCTTCTGAATGTCGGTCTGCGGGGATTTCTTGTCTCGGAAAGACTTCTTCGGGGCGCCGTCGACAACTGTAGTGATGTGCGTCACATCCTCCTGCACACCATCCTCTGTGATGAGTTTGCCCTTGGTGGGCTGGGTTACGTTGGTCTTGCGGATCTTCTCCTCCTCAGACACTGGCAGTGCCACTTCCACCACTGGATTGATCAAGTCTCTGATTTCATCAACACTGTCGGGAGACATGGGAACTTGGTCTGTGTCCTCGTCCTCGCTGTGCTCCTCAGGTGTTTCTTCCGTTGTTTTGGAATCCTCCTCCGGGATAACATCCACACCTGGGACCTCCAGACAGGACTCGTAGGCCACAGGAAGTCCATCCAGCTGGATCATGGACACCACCTGTCTGCGTCTACTCCCAGAACCTCCTCCTTCAGTCGAGGCCCTTTCCTGCACAGTGCCATCTGGTTCATTGTTGCCAAACTTAGCTGCCCAGTCCACCTGGGGCGATTCTCCGAGCAGATGCAGGTTGGGGTCGCTGTTTGTCAGGACGATACTGTCGCGGTACAGATTGTGTCTCCTCTGGACCGCTGCCTCCTTCACAGCTGGACACACAAAGAAATGGACAAGAGATAAGTTAGTTAGTTTAGTGTTTAAAATAAAGTTTTAAAGCATTAGCTGTTAATGTGTTAGGTTGGAGGCGGGGCTTGATGATAGTTATCCCCATGTGTTTGGGAATCACTGGACTAATCATTCTTCTGAAGTACTTTATCACCAATTTCACTTCTCTAAAAATACTTCTTGGTACTATGACACATTCAACATAGTTTCCATTCTCACCCATCATGATGTCCTTGGTGACGGACTGCAGCACGACCTCTTCGTACATGTTCTCCACCAGCAGGAAACGTGAGAAGTCCTCAAAGATCAGCTCTTTGAAGCGAGGCAGCTCCTGGTCAGGACAGAGAGTGGACAGAGTTAGTCCGCCTCAGTGTTTTTGGATCGTTGCCTTCGATACACTCTCTGTGCAAATCCAGGTTTAAAGTCATAACTGCAATGGATGGAAATGTAAATGGGGGGTGTACGGTATACGGGAGGGACTCACGGGTGAGCAGGACTCTGAGAGCTGCTGCAGCATGTACGGGATGATGATTTGCAGCAGAGCCTCTCTGAAGAACTTCTTCCGGACCGTGCTGCTGTCGTAGTCATATTTCTAAGAAGGAAAACAACAGAAATACCTGTCAGGGACAAACGTGGACCAGTCGCTGTCGCTAAGTGGCCACTGTGGTCGTCACTGTGTTGCTTACAGTGAACCAGCGTAAATTGCCCAAGGCCTCAGTCATTGTGGTCTATGTCAGGCATGGGCAAACTACAGCCAGATGAGGAATTTCAGGACCCATTGTGGTGTGTTTTATTCTGTCCTAACGTATATATGGGCTCTCTTTGAAAGTGTTGTTGTTCATTAGGGCTCTAATCCCACCTCAAATGAATACGACCTGCCCTACTTTATAAATAATTAAAATAAAGTTTAAATATAGCATTTGACCAAAAAAGTGCACCTTTCTACTTTCTGCTAAATGTTATTGGTTATGATCAAAAAGACAAAGACAGTTTTAGACATTTTTGGGTTCTAAGGTCCTGTAGCAGTATTTTTTCAGTATTCCAACTGCTGAAAAGGCTAGTAAGTTTTGCTTATGTAAAAGAACATTTTTTGTAAAATGATTAGAGTTATATTTGTTTGTGTCGCTTTTATTTGGCATTTTGTAGTTGCGGTTGATTGGCTACACTGAGTTAATACTACTGTCAAACGGAAGTTGATGTCACGGTGTATGTAAACGTGGTTAAGGCCTGTGATGGTTCAGGTCAAAGTCCATTAGTCGGTGTTCCGTTCTTACCTTCAGGGCCCTGTCCTGACACCGTTGGATGCTCTTGCACATGTCGTCATCCGCCAACGACTGGTTTAGCAGCTGCTCGAACGTGTACACTGCGTTATCCATTTGCTGCAGGAATGATAAACGAAAAACGTGAGGAACTGAGGCACTTGCTAAAATGTATCTCATACTGAATAATGTATCATTCTTACGTAATACATAACACGTAAATATTTATGACGTTGCCACTTGACAACAGAGACCTTAGTTGACAGCAGAGTGATGTTTGTCATGATTGGTTTAAATGTGTGACACAGTGTCCAAGTTGATGTTATTTTTAAAAGCTATATATAAAAGCTAAAAGCTATATATACGTACATATATATTCATATATAAATGATTGCATTGAATGTAAACACATGAAAAACTATGTCTTTTGATAGATTTTGATAGAGTATGGCTATATAACAGTGATTGTAGCATTTACCATTTTATCGAGTTAACAGAACTATTTTTCGGAGAGTCCAAACAGCTTACAGCAGAACTATTTTTCGGAGAGTCCAAACATTTTCCTTAAAACCTTCAAATGTGTTATATTAATGTTATAAATACATCCTGCATCTCAGCAAACGGGGGATTCTTCTGATGAACTGTTAGCTTACAGCAGGGGTGAGGAACCTTTTTAGCAGAGAGAGCCAAAATAAGCCACATATTTATAATATGTTTCTGTGAGAGCCGTACAATATTTTTTTCTTTGCTCTGAATACAACTAAATGTGTGAATTTTTAAACAAGACCGATAATTTTACAGTATAACTCTCTGAAGTATTAAAAAAGTTACTTAAAACAATAATAACGCTAGACTATTCATTACGTAAAATGCTCCTTACTATTAATGCGACCTCTGCTGTTATACATCGTTCCGCCATACAAATCAGTTTATTACACACCACTTGAAAAAAAAATATATATATATATACTATATATCGTAATTTACCGTACGGTCATTAAATGCAACACCCCTGCATATTCGTGCAGTTCTGAACCCCGGGAAGCAGCAGTCGGACTCTGCTCTCCTTATGGTAGGTGCACATGTTAGGAGTTTCGTCATTAATTGATTTAATTATTTTAATTTTATCATTAACTGTACTTTTATTTATGTTGTATTTTCAGCGTGAGACGTGTTGTATGTGTTGTTACAAAATGGACTGACTTTGTTTTCACTTTTCATGTCAGAAATAAAAGATGACGTAACAAGCTGATGATTTAACACAGCGCAAAGAGCATACGCTGCCGCCACAAATACGCGAGAATGTTTTTTAAAAGAGTATTTTAACAGTATGATTTCTGTAATGTTTTATTTGAATATCAGCGAAACTATTTATTACTTATTATGTTATGAAATTCTAGCTAACTTAATTATAGGTTCCCGACCCTTGGCTTACAGCATTACTGTATAGAAGAAACGAAACACGTTTGTATGACGTATGTAATAGTCTACAGGGAGTGCAGAATTATTAGGCAAATGAGTATTTTGACCACATCATCCTCTTTATGCACGTTGTCTTACTCCAAGCTGTATAG